AAGTACTGCGTGTGTACATTCTTCCTGCTTCTCATCCCGTTTTCTCATTAGCTCCTTCTCCACTGAAACGCTATTACTGGCGAGTCGCTAAGGCATTTTTTTCAACGCTTAGGGCGATAACTTGGAATCTGCGGCATAGCTCGCTGCTGAGTGTGCGATCGATACTCGAAACTGCGCCTATAGCTATTTGGCACCAATGATCACGATCATTCGGTCCAAAAAGCTCTAGGTATAGGTGCAGCCAGGTCCCAGATATTATGAAAGGTTGAAACAAGCGCCGGGGTGATGTATATCGCCTCCCTCCTTCGCTATATTACTTTAGGAAGGAAGGGGCTTCCTTGCTAGCGTAAAAGACTCAAAGTTTAAGCTCAGGATCAATTTTTGTGTCAAAGTCGGTGGTGGAACGGGTCCATATTATCTCACTCCATGATCTAGAGTGGTGTTCTGCTCCCTCATTCTACACCGCTCCGCCTTTCTTTGTACTTTATAGCTCTCTTGGTAGCTGCAAATGCTATCAGGTTTATGGTCATTGTTGCACGAATAAGAGGCTCGTACCCAGTCTCTTGCCACCAACTTGGTATGAGGATCAACCCAAAATTGGTGAATAGTCCCTTCAGAATATCTCTGAGCGATACTAACGGCCGGCGTGGGCTTGCCTCACCTACGAGCTTGAACGTTAGAAGGCTAGACTGGTAATTTCTCGTCCTTAGCGTCGCTTTGTCTGGGACATTTCAATTTCATCGCACATCCTTCACCATGTCCAAACCTGTTGTTCTTGAAGATATTACTGGCGGTAGCGCAAAGGCTACTCACCTCTGTGTTTTAGTCCATGGCGTAAGCTTCATTCCTTGAACATCACTCCCCACACGTAATACAATGCTGGCTGTAGTGATAGCTTTGGGGAAACCCAAGTCATGTACGCAATGTTGCCAAGGTTTTGCGTGACGAATATTCCGAAGACGAATTGTATATCCAGCCAGCCGAGAAGAACCGCGGCACCTTTACATACGATGGCATTGAGCTTGGTGGTGAGCGCGTGTGCGCAGAGATCGAGGACAAGCTGCACGATATTGAATCGCAAGGGGGCAAGATGGCCAAGTTTAGTATCGTAGGATATTCGCTCGGGGGTCTAGTTTCGAGATACGCGGTTGGTTTACTTTACGGGAAAGGAATTCTCGATGAATTCGAATGCATGGTAAGTCTCAGCAATAGGAAAAAGGATTAGATGAACTAACAATCCTCTCAGAGAACTTTGTGACATTTGCATCCCCCCATCTCGGAGTGAGAACGCCACTGATTGGATGGCTCAACAATATCTGGAACGTCCTCGGCGCCCGAACGCTATCAGTGTCCGGTCACCAACTTTTCACCATCGACAAATTCCGCGACACCGGCAGACCCCTTCTCGCCGTCCTCGCTGATCCAGATTCTATCTTCATATCTGGTCTCAAGAAGTTTAAGCGCCGCACACTGTACTCAAATATCGTCAACGATCGAGCCGTGTTGCACTACATATCCGCCATTACTAAGCATGATCCTTATGCAGACCTTGACAAGGTTAATCTCAACTACCTGAAAGGATACGAGGGTATGATTCTTGACCCTGACCATCCTATTGTGCTTCGACCGAAGCTTCAACAAGATGCCCAATTGACAAAGTACAAAGCTCTCAATAAGTGGGTCAAGAGCATCCTGGTTATTGTGAGAGTGGGGTTGATAATGCCGATCGTTGT